AAAAATAAAAAAAAAATATACAAGAAAACAAATTCCTATTGTCAAGCCATTCTGACTCATAGAGATCCTATATAAGGCAGAAGAGGTCCATGGACCTTTATGGGAGGAGACCGCCTCATTTTTCTTCTGTGGAAGACTTTTAGGTTAGTAAAGCAACACATAACCCATTACATCACCAAGGTTCCTGACACAAACTCAACATTTATTGACTTATAAATGCAGAAAGAATGCTACTTAGATAAGGTTTTCTTTTCTTAGGATTTTAAGGCATTTTCTATTTAATGAAATCTTTTCTATTACTCTGGGAGGAATGTATCTCCAGGAATGTATCTCCAGTTCTTATCTGTTTAACAGGGAGCCCTGGTGGCCTCGTGGTTAAGGATGTGCACTGTCAACCCAGAGGCTGGCAGATTCCATTCACCAGCTCCTCCTTTGGGAGAAAGATGGGCAATCTCCTCCCATGTAGTTTACAGCCTCTGAAAACTTGCAGGAGGATCAGCTATGAGTAGTTTGCAACCTTAGCAATGACTCTCCCCCTCCCCAAACATACACACTGTTGAGTGTTTATAAGGAGGTTTACCCTCACCTTTTTCCAATCCTGACGTTGACCATCTTCAGGAGAATAAACATCAACTTTGCATACTCCATTTTGGCTTTGTAACCAGTCAACCTTATCTGACATCTTGAGTAGGGGAAAAAAGAGAAAGGATGATCAAAAGGATAGGATTATCAAAATAAAGAGAAAGAGCAAATAGTTAAAGTGAAGAGAATAAGAACAAAAACACTGTTAAGACAGATCTGCCCCAAGAGTCACTCAGACTCACTTGAACTCTGGATAATGTCATCCTAAATGCTCATCTACAGGAATATTTCTTAAAGACATTCCTATCTCAAGGGTCCATGTCAATGTCTGGTTATGCTATATGTTTGGCATGTATTTGTTAAATCAGTGAACTGAAGTAGTTATATCCAGGTTTTTGTGTCATTTTTTGATAGCGCCTTTCAAGGATACATGCTGTCTCCATACCTTTTCAATCTATATGCAGAACAGATCATTTAGGAGACTTGGCTTTATGAGGAGGGATGTGCATCAGGATTGGAGGAAGATTCATTAACAACCTATGCTATGCAGATCACCTTACTTGCTGAAACTGAGGAGGACCTGAAGTGCTTGCTGTAGAAGGTCAAGGACTGTAGTCTTCAATAGGGATTGAAGCTCAACATCAAGAAGACAAAGATTCTCACCAGTGGTCCAATTGGAAGCACCATAATATATGGAGAGGTTGTTAACAGTTACATCTTGCTCAGCTCCACAATCAACACTGTTGGCACCAGCAGTCAGGAAATCCAAAAATGAATTGCACTGGGAAAATCTGCTGTCAGGGACCTCTCCAGAGCACTGAGAAGCAATGATGTCAGTCTAGAGCCTAAAGTGTGCCTAATCCAGGCCGCAGTCTGTGCAATTACTTGCTATGCATCAGAGAGCTAGCTGGACAAATGACTAAGAATGACAGAAGAAGAATTGATGCCTTTGAGTTGTGGTGCTGTAGAAGAGCATGCACTGCCAAGAAAACAAATAGGTCTGCCTTGGAGAGGATGAAACCAAGTTTCTCTCTGGAGGCTAGGATTTTGAAGCTTTGTCTCACATAATTTGGGCACATGTCCAGGAGAGATCAATCCTTAAAGAAGGGCATCATGCTCAGAAGGGTGCAGGGACAGTGCATGAGAGCAAGGCCCTGGATGAGATGGATTGATATAGTAACTGGGGCAATGGGGGTTAGTTTGTCACTATCAGTGAGGCTGTCTCAGGACAGGGCAGGTTTCAGAGCTGTTGTACATAGGGTCACTATGAGTTGCAGGTAACTCGACAGCACATAACAACAACAACAACAACATCCATACTATACAGGGATTTTCAATAGCTATACAGAAATCAATATGATAAAAAATAGAATGAATTCTATCTCCTTATTATAATAGATAACATTTATTATTTTAATATATGCTTTATTTTTTAATTCATTCTAAAGAAACAGCTTACTCATGTACCCTTTAATCACTCTTGCAATTATCGAAGGCTCCTGAGGATTTTTCAGTCTCCATAATTCAACCCAATTTCCAAATGCCTGAAGGACAGCTGCAATTATGCTCCGTCCACTGAGCCTTTGTTTACAGATGAAGTGATGCCCCTGTTGGTGTGTGTTGGCAGCTTTCTCTTAATTTGTATGTCACTAAGTGGCATCATCATACACTTATTTTGCAGGACAAAGTTAGTTTTAGTTTTCTTTTTTTACCCCAAGCCTCTTAGCGACTAGTTTTTCTCTTCTGTCACATTTACCCATTTAAAAAAATTTTTTTTCGTACCTATACTTGTTGTTTTTACTGCCTTACTTCAGAATCAAGCACAATAGCCCCTATTCAAGATTCATCTTGGGCCTTTTGCCTTATTTCCTTTCACATCCTTTAATAATAATTTATCTTACTCAGTAGTCTTTGAAAACATGGCCAACCATTGATAACTAAAGATTGTTCAATGGTAATATGTAAGTATGTGAAATGAACAATCTTTAGTGCTTCCATTATCATGAAAATTCATTTTTCACTACAGACTTTGTGCAAATTTATACTTCTCAATAAGTATAAACATGATAGTTGACAGTGCAAAGTGAAATCAGAAACTTGGGTCTCGAGATAAAAAGATAAATTGTCAAGTTTATTTGGAGATGTAAGACATCCCCGATAAGCAAAACACTTCTGAGAAACAAAAATGGAGTGGGAGATATAGCACTCCCTGACCTCAAAACCTACTACACAGCAGTTGTAACCAAATCAGCATGGTACTGGTACAATGACAGGCACATAGATCAGTGGAACAGAAGTGAGAACCCAGAAATGGACCCCGCTATCTATGTATGGTCAAATTTGATAAGGAAATAAAACTTACCAACTGGGAAATGACAACCTCTTCAACAAATGGTGCTGGCAAAACTGGACTGCTACCTGCAGAAAGCTGAAACAGGATCCACATCTCACACCATACACAAAAATTACCTCAGGTGGATAAGAGACTTGGGAGTAAAACCCCAAACCAGAAAGTTCATAAGAGACAAACTGGGATCAAGCTTAGAAGCCCTAGTCTATGGTATAAAGAGACTGTCAAATACTGCCAGAAATGTACAATCTGAAAAGGATAAAATTGATGAATGGGACCTTCTGAAGATTAAATCCCTGTATTCATAAAAAACTTTTTCCAACAGGGTGAAAAGAAAACCTATTGACTGGGAATACCATTTGGTAATAACATTCTGGATAAGAGTCTCATAACGAAAGTTTATAGAATACTCCTGGACCTCCACAAGAAAAAGACTGATAACCCAATCACAAAATGAGCAAATGACATGGAAAACATTTTCACAGAAGATATTCAAATGGCCAACAGACATATGCTGGCAATAACAGATATGCAAATCAAAACCACAATGAAATACCATCTCACTCCAATAGCAGTGGCAAAGTTAAAAGGAAAGCAGGTAATAAATGTTGGAGAGGATGTATTGAGATAGAAACTCAATTGTTGTTGGGATTGTACAATGGTGTAACCACTCTGGAAGGCAGTTTGGCGTTTCCTCAAAAAGTTGAACATAGAAATTTCATATGACCCAACTATTCCATTGCTTGGAATACACACAAGAAAATCAGAATTGAGGCTCGAATGGAAACTTGTACACCAATGTTCATGGCAGCATTATTCACCATTGCAGGGACAAAGATCCAGCCCAAATATCCAAACACAAATGAATGGATTGAGAAGTTGTGGTACATTCATACAATGGAATACTACACAGCATGCAGGAGCAATGATTTTGTAAATTACTACCTAATTTGGGAGAGACTGGAGAACATTATACTGAGGGAACTAACTCAGTCCCACAAGGACAAATACTGTAAAAAACCATTCGTGTAGAATGAGTATAAGGGTCCAAGGGGAAGGTGAGGGTGGAAATAGAGGGGTGAGGATGGGGGGTAGGGTGTTAATCATAGGGTTGTACAGTTTGATGGGTGGGTGGGGTTAAGGAAATTGGAAGTATCTTTTGTGAAAGACAATGTATTCAAACTTTGTAAATAAATCAGAGTGAAATTTTAAACAATTTAAAAATACAAACTTCAGTTCTTAATCCTCAGTTTATATTTCATTCTAATGAATTACTTTATATAGAAAAGGAAAAATCCATAAGAACCAGTCCTATTTAATCTGTTGTTGCTGTTACGTGCCATCACATAAAAAAAAAATTTAGTTGTCACCTGCAACTCATAGCAACCCAATGAACAATAGATCTGAACCAGGCTGCCCTACTCTAAGCCAGTCTAACTACCTCTAACACATCGACTCCTATTACCCCAATTACTGTGTCAATCCATCTTATCCAGGGTTTTCCTCTCTTATGCTGGCCCTCCACCCTTCCAAGCTTGATGTCCTTCTCCATGGACTGGTCCCTCCTGTCAACAGGCCTAAAATATGTGAGACAGCTTCAAAATAGTTTCATCAAAAGAGTAACTTGGTTTCACTCTCTCAAGGACAAACCTGTTTGTTCTCTTGGAAGAACATAATAAGTCCATATTATGTTCAATACTCTTCTCCAGCATCACAACTCAAAGGCATTGATTCTTCTTCTATCATCCTTAGTCATTGTGCAGCCATCTGATGCATAGCAAGCAATAGTGAAGACCATGGCCTGGATCAGGTGCACCTTAGTCTCCAGACTGTCATTGTTGTTCTTCAGCAGTCTAGAGAGGTCCCTGCCAATGGATTTACCTAATGTAATTCATCTTTTGCCTTTTTGACTGCGGGTGCTATGAGTTTTAATTGTGGAAATGAGCAGCTAAAGTTGTTAATTTCTTTCATCGATCATGATGATGCCAATTGGCTCAGTGGAGAGAAACTTTTGTTTTCTTGATATTGAGCTTCAATCCATATTGAAGACTGCAGTCCTTGACCTACTGCAGCAAGCGCTTCAGGTCCTCCTCAGATTCGGCAAGCAGGGTTGTGTCATCTGTACAACACAGGCTGTTGATGAGTCTTCCTCCAATCCTGCCCAGCCTCCCAAATGACTTGTTCTGCATACAGATTGAAAAGCTAAGGAGACAGGATGCATCCTTGATGCACTCTTTTCCTGATTTTGAACCATGTAGTGTTTCCTTGTATGTCCTGACAACTGCTTCCTGGTCCAGGTATAGGTTTCACATGAGCACAATAAGGTGTTCTGGGATTTCCACTCTTCTCAAGATAGCCACAATTTATTGTGATCCACACAGTCAACACAGTACAATTAAAAAGCAAAGGTGATAATTTAATAAAAAATAGTAAGAAAATCAAGTGACTACTTACTCTTAGTGAGGATAGGTTCTGAGATATAAGGAAAGTTCTTGATTAATGTGTTGTTGTCTTCACTACTCCTAAATTTACCCACCCCTCCTGCCATGTAATAATATAAGGAATCTGCAATGAAAAGACACAAGTAAAAATTACTAGTTTGAGGTATGAATTATACTACAATATATACATAAGAGCTCTATTACCCACTTATCATGTATTCACATGACTATGTACAGCAAGCATGTTATCCTGTGAAAATTAGTGTAATGCAAAACAGAAGGTGGCCAGATCAGATAAAAAAATAGAGG